CGATCGATCTCTTTTCCTATAGCTCCAGTTTTTGAATGCCTCCTGGATATATATTTTAAATAGCATGGGTGACAAACTGCTCCCTTGTCTAAGTTCCTTTCATGTAGACTATTTCGGTCCACCAGGTGTGATCCCTCATTTTCTTTAAAATTGCTTGGTTTGTTGTTCTGCTAGTCAAGGTTACTTGCAGCATTCGTATACACAGCCACATTTTGAATGCGTTTGACAATAAATATATATTTACAGTTCGATCAATTTTATATTTAAAGCTCGAATACTTTCAACTGCTTCTGTTGTATAACTTTAAATCTATATAAAAACATTGTCTTTTAGTCTTTTCAAGGTTGAGTCTAGTTTAACTTAATCATTATGTTAATGTATTAATGAGATGGCTATATGGCGTATAGAGCGTATTTTATGAATAGCAACGCCTTTGTGATTCCATTATGACATTTTTTACGTAAGTATGGAAAAAAAGAAAGACAAGAAAACCATTTTAAAAAGGATCCAAGGAACTGAATTTTAAAACTTATTTAATTAAAGCGATGAACGTTAAAATTAATATGTATGTATTATTAAATTGCAACATCAGTGTCTTGAAGGTCCTAATACGAATCCCTTTCATATATTTTTTTAATAACTGAGAAAAATATACCTATTGGTAAAATTTCCGAGCATATGAGGCAAAAGTTTATTGTAATGGAGTATTTTGCGCTTCCAATGATACAGAACTTCATCTTGAAAAGATTTTCTAAAATTGTCAATTTGAATTGAATTGAATTTGAATCTATAGCAATATGCATACAGTATTGGTCCTGAATTACATATCATAAATTCACGTTAAGACTCAACTTACATGTAAGTTGTAAGTTTATAAGATATGGAATTGTTTTTTCGGATTCATCGCCTATGGCATTCATTGTGTTTAGGGCACAAACAAGCATGAAACGAGCTTGCTTACTTTTTGCAAGCCCTGTTTGGCCGACCTGAGTATTTTCACGGTAAAATAACTGCACTATCTGCAGCTAGTGCTTTTTGTTAAAAGAAACTTCTATTTAATAACTCCTAGATTAATGGGGATAGTCTAAGGATACCTGCGCACAACACCTCTTTTTTTTTCAACGACGACAAAAAATTAGAGCTAGGAAAGCCTTGCGCTGCCTACAGGCAAACAACAAAAAAATTAAAAAACTTGTCCAAAAACCGAATTATTAAAAAAAATACTTTTATTCATTCGTCATTAAACATTGGCTTTTTCCATTTACAGATATATCTGTAACCATATTTGTTGCAGTTCACATACAAATATGAGTAACATGGAACTGAAGATGTTTAGTTAAAAATATTAATCATAAAAAAAAACTTATTTTACCCAAATCACCAATTTTTGAATGTTACGCTCTCTCCTGGTGAAAATAATAATAATATAAATGTAGTGAATAAAAATTGTTATAAAATAACTAGTACAATTTTATACCGGGTTAGTAAAAAGTACCGGAACGCTTAAACATCTCCAAAACCGCCAAACGTTAAAAGTAAAAAGGTAGATAAGAACTAAAAGTTCAGATTTTCACGAAATTATATATTTTTACATGACAATTGTTTCGACAGCACTGTGTCTTTATCAAATGCCACCTCAGTTCAAGCAATCCCAAGGGGTTGTGAGATTTTCTATTTTTACGTCACATGTCTTACAAGTTCTGATTTGGATTCCTAGAAGCTTATCGTTGAATTTTTTTCCCTGGGTACAAAAAAATCTTTTTTCAATTCGAATTAATTTGGAAAATGATTTTCCTGCATACAAATCATTGAAAATAAGGAAACGCCAATAACTTATAACATCCATGTTGGTGACTGGTGGAACTGCATTAACTGAATAGTCAACACCATGCACATCTAAAGTAAATGGATGTAAACCATCTACTCATTGTAGTTTCATTTGACATCTAAAAAAAACATTTCCTACGGTAAAGAGAACACAATTTTTCTTTTTATTACCAATATCGAGATTTTCTTGTAATAGTTCTTTAAATAAAGCCTCTCCATCTCAAACTAATTAACACACTAGACGGCCATATTTGATCAAGTGGTTTGGAGTGCCAGCAAACCAAAGAAAATAAAATGGAAAAAGAATAATCACTGGTAAGGCAACCAAAAGACGTTTATTGTACGTCGAAGTCACGTTAGAATTGGTCTCTATGACGTCTATTTAACCGCACTTCTTTGCACCAATCAAAGATACATATTATTTATATTGGTAGTGGCAGGTAGATTTGATGACGATCACGCCGAACATTTTAGAAGAAAAAAGACGTCAGAAAAACGTTTGGTGAAGTATATGGTTGGCTGTTGCACTATTAGATTTAGCAGTCCTGACGCGCAGTTGTTACGCATTTGAGTATCTTTATAAAGTAGAACGTTAAAGGCGAACAGGTAAAGACAGAGTCCTTGAGAAAAAGACAGTAGACAGAAAAGGACACGCAGTTGCCTCTGCGGAATAGACCTAGTTAAAGTGTCAAACAGGACTGCAGAATACATTATAAACAACCACTCTTAAATAATTACAAAATATTCTTCCAGGGCTTTTTGGAAACCCAAACCTCACTTTTGTTTAACGTCATAATGACCACAGCGAAGCTTCGAAAGAGAAAATACGACAAGAAAACGAATACCTGGGCAGCTAATGGAATCCACAACAAATTTCATATTAATGCACCATTAGATTTAGCAGTCCTTTAATTAGTTGTCAGTCTATTGAGTAACTTTATTAATTAGAACATTAAAATTGGAAGCGAACAGGTAAAAACCGAGTGAAAAGGACAGTGGACAGAAAGAGACACGCAATTGTCCCTCTTCAATACACCTGTTTAAATAACTTATTTTTCGCAACAAACCTTCGGTGCTTTTAAGGAAGCAAACACGAAATTGGTAGAGTAAGTCATGGTTGAAGAAGCCTTTTTACAATGCTTTTTTGTACCATAAATAAAGGAGTCGGACCATGTATATGCGGCAGACAAAACCCTTTACGGTTGCAGGGCTGGGTTTTTTGACACGCTGACCTACTACGTAGTCCGTTGCCGTCGACGAAGCTGCCATGGCAACCGTGCGGTGCAGCTTCCCATCGACCCACAGTCCGCCCCGGTCTTTCATTCCTCAATGAATTTCGGGCGCGGCCTCCTTCTCCTGCTGGCCTCTTGCATCACGGCACGCGGCGAAGGATCGCGATTGAGATGCGTTCGAGTTTCTTTTTATCCACGCCAGAATTCAAATTGGGGACGCCCTAGTTACCAACGTCATACCAGCGAAACGGTCGATCTATGGGACGCGGAGATTTTAGTGGACGATGGGTTTGCCAAAACCACATCCACGGAAGTGCCTTATTGTTAAACGTTAGTTCGGCCTATAACCGAGGGAAGGAAGGGAGATACAATGCTTGAGTTCATAAAAGTGTACTATTCGATGATTAATTAGTATAATTAATTCAATTTTCCTTAGGCTTCTACACTTCTTTGCACAATATAATAATTATCAATAGTGAAAGCAGTGTGTCGCTTACACAGCAAAATTCGTTGGATTCGATATCCCTGCCATCTACATTTTATTGCAAGAAGCACCCATATTCACGCTAGTTATAGACGGTATTCTTTCAACGGGATGTCTGAGTTCTGACAACCAGCATTGAGCGCATTATTTTTAATTATAAACTTGGTGATTTTGAAAGTATTCGCAATTTTAATCATTATTTTTCACAGAAACTTTCACATTCTGCTATTTACTATTTACTGTTTACAAATCTTCTGGAACTGAAACTGTATGCTGTATGCTAGAGGTGTCCCGAACGGAACTTTGAATTGTATTGTATTATATTTCTTAAGAACTTTTGATACGGGGTCAGTAATATTGTGAATGAAAAGAACCACCGAGGCAAGTGTGGGATTGCATTTGGACTCATTTTCCTTCGTAGGTTGTGATGAAGTGTATTTTGTACTGAAACCCCTAATATCTGGAAATTATTTGAGAAAAGAGGAGATGTTAGGTGTTTTATTTCAGTATCCGGTGACTCGGGTTGAGATAGTTTTACGACTCTGTAAACAAGAGAGTTGATAACCAATGAGCTCTGCGTAACTTCTCTCTAGTAAACCAGACCATATGAGGTCTGATTTTCCATTAATAAGAATATCTAAGAATAGAAGTTTATTATTAGTTTCCAATTAAATTGTAAAACGTGTGTCAAGATGTTTAGGGTTGAACAGTCTTCAGAGTTTTGGGTTTGGATAGAAAGTGACGAGAGTTTTACTCTCAAAAACCCACATCTGTTACTGCTATTGAAAATTGAAGACTGGGAACTTCATTAAGGACCGATATTCCGGTCTAAACTAACCGGAATATTGTTTGGATCTTAAGCTTTTGCTAGAGCATAGGCTGTAGCAATAGGTCGAAGGGGTAATCCTTATTTGTGAAGCTGAGGGAGTCTGTAGAAACGAGGAATTTTAAAGTCGTCAGGGGTGACAGATTTTTTCACTTATTTTAATAGAAAGGTAGCTTTAACAGCAGATTTAAGGTTGCGTTCCATATATGATCTAGAACTTTTTTAAATTGATGATAGGATCAGTTTGTAGAAACATCTAGGAATTTTTTCTTGGCAGTCAGTTGTGTTTATCGCTACCGTAGAGGATTTCCTGTATCTGCTGTTAAAATTATTTTTGTATTATTATTTTTTTATTATTATCGAATTTAATTAGGCATTTCGGATAACACCATGTTTGGGATACACATGATGGTTTCACTTGTGCTGAGGTTAGATATATAGAATAATGGTAGTAAATAACACTGTATTTTCAGCTTTTCAGGTTTTCATCTTCAGATGTCAAAACTGTATGTTAAACTTAAATTAGTCAAAAAAAAATACAAAAAATTCTTTAAAAAGATATGAGCGGATGATGAAACAAATAATACATATACTTACAACTTCCAAATATTATATTACGGTAAATGTTGATGAAAAAGTAATTTTATAAACATTCTTGTTATCTTAAGCTTTAAAATCCCTGATTTGTATCAGTCTCTTGAAGTACATATTAGGCAAAATATTTACAACTTTGAATAGTAATGTGAAAGAGTTCCCATTCAAATAAACATTTAAAAACTATATGCCGAAACATGATACAGAGTTAAGTTATAACTTTTAGAAATGAAAAAATTGAGTAAGTTGTTTCCAATAAACTGTTACAACTTTTTTATAATAATACCTTGAACACTGATTGGTGGAGAATTAAATAAAATTAAAATACATACGTCGATTATGCTACAAGATCAATATCAGGTACGAATACAATGTACAAATACAGTGAAAAAGGCGATAGGCAACTGAACGTTAAAGTTTAAAAATCTTACATTTAAAAGTCTTTTAATGAGGTAGAATGTGTAGTTCACCTATCCGAATGGGGATAGGAAAAATCTTAAATTAAACTAATGTTACGCTAATATTAGGTGGAGTTCTTATTTAACGTAGATATACCTCGGTGTAGTTAGACGTCATATCCTGCTTCTAAATTTTTGTCAATCTACGCAAAATATCTTCGCAATAAAAGAAATATATAATAAAAACAAATTTTTAAGTAAAATGAAGAGGAATGTATTTTATCAATTTTCACCCCATCAAAAGGCCATTGTTTTTGCCTCAAAAAAAATTATCGACTTCCTCGATAATTAATTTCTTGAATAATTTAATTGCTAGATATATGTAACCCAGATTATGCACTTGGAACACTTTGTATGAGAAAATTGAAAAAATATCTTCCCCATATCAAATTAAAAAAAAACAAAAACTTTTCATAAAACACGTCCAAAATAGCCAATATTGTCATAATTTTTAAATAAATGCTAAAACAATAATTTAAAACAGTATTAATAAATATCTTCTATAAACACAAAATAAATTTCGAATAAAATTACATGGCATTTTATGGTGTCATAACTACATCCGCCCGTGGTATGTGTTTGGTAGATATGACGGTATATCAGCATTTACTTAACCTAACTTTGAAAAATCCGCAGCTGGGTGTAAAATTTTCATTTATGTACCACAGACATTATTTCGAGCAATGGCCTAAATAAATTCTACAAAGTACATTTGAAAAAAAAAAACACGAATTCTCCAACTTTACGCCTAAATCTACTAATCTATTAATTTTGGGAACAACTGTTCATTGATTACCCTTGTTTTATCAGCAGAACGCCTGATTGCAAAACTGTTTCTAGGTAAAAAAACAAATAAATTAACTAACCAAAACTCAGCACGAAACATTTTTTTTTCTTGAGGTTACAATTTACGAAAAATCGATAACTTACAGCCCCAACTATGATACAGAAAACCAAGCTGATGCAAACAGCGATCTGCACTTAACAGGATTACCAGTTACTGCGAGGATAGTAATTCAGCCGCAACCTACTTAATGTAATATCGATTTTACTCGAGTACTTTGGTCATTCGGATTTAGATGGCGTTAGCGACGAGTCGCCGTTTTGACCTTCGGTGTCGCCGTTCTCTTTCGCGCTACCCGACGCTTTTGGGGGCCGCTCTTGCCTAGTCGGACAATCGGCAATAAGATGTCCTTCGCTCTTGCAATTATGGCAACGCTTGGGCTGAGGACCCATTGTACATTTGGCTGCTATGTGATTAGCAAACTCGCCGCAATTGTAGCACCTAAAAACGGAGACGCAAAACTTGAAAAAACCATTTAAACAATCGAAACATTCAGCACATTGGAACATTGTGGCCTATCCTCTATCCGCTGGTTTCACTGAAGCAGTCCTTCAAAAAATGGACCAAATAAGTTGAAGAGCTTGAGGATTTCGAAATTGCCTTGTATAGTTTTAAGTGCCCTTGACTTACTGAACTACTTTTAAGAACACGGAAAGTTTACTATGAAAACAACTGAAGTTTTTTCAGATTTTAAAGACATTCGGGGGTCGTCTAGGGTCTGTGCTGAGACCCCTCTTACTATCCAGGGTGATTCATAAAGAATTGCTGTGAATGAATGAACAATTTGTTAAAATTGTTAATTGTGTCGTACATAAATTAACTTCTTAGTAAACAATTAATTATTTTGATTCTTTAAACAACCAAAAAATGGAATAAAAACATACCCTTTTTTATTTAAAATAAGAAAATTTGGGTAGGTTAGAAAAAATATATAAACGTGGCAACGTCGTCTATGCAGCCATTGGATCCAGCCTAATAAAATACCCTCGGTAGTAGCTGTCATAAATTTAATTCTAATAATTCCTTTATTTTTTCTTTGTATGTCTGCTTTGCTTGTTTTAGTTTCTCCATATCTAATTTGTAACTTTTTTCTTTTTAGTTTCAAACCGGCTATTAACGAGCGAGCATTTGGCTCGCACAAATCTGTAGTCTCTACAAGCTGACAAGCGATTTAGTACTGTTGCGTCTTAAATGATGGATTCCAGTGATATATGAATATAATAATCTCGTTTTTAGTATAGCCATTGGGACTTAACCAGGTCCATTTTCTGCAATTCTTCAAATGATGATAAGTTGTCTTTTCTACAAGTAGTTCAACAATGCATGTCTTTCATCATTTTTTATTTAATTTTATTTATTTTATTTATTTCTTCGTAAGTGTTATTTCGTCTATATGTGGGTGGAATAAATAAATGATTGTCAGAGATGTATGATGGATCTTACTCGATCTAATAACCTTCATTGACTGTCTGATAAGTTTCTTATTTGCTATAAAACCTATTTTATTGTTGCATTTGTATTTTCTGTTTTCCTTTCCTCTTTATCTCTGTTAGACTAACGATATTCTAGTGATTTTAATATTTTCATGGATTTTCAAACTTGCCAGTTTTGTGACATGACAAATAGTAATTTTAAAGTTGAAACATGAATATGAGAATGAATTTTGCTTAAAAGGCACTCTTGTGAGGACCGCCTAACTCCGTAGATTTTTTATTTATTTGCACTTAAAAATCTCAAGGTATTTTTTCTGATTTTTTTATAAATACGGGGAGCAATGAAGTGTGGTGTGATTTCTGATTTTTGGCCGGTCACGTTAACTTCGTAACTTCCTTCAGCACCATTTAAACATACTTCTAGAGAAGGCGCCTTGAGAGAAAATGTGTGGTTTATGCATCATGAGCAGTTTCCTTATCCTTCCTTATAAGGAGTTCAATCTGAAGAAGCTAATTCCGCGAATACCCTTAGAAATAATATGGAAATATTAACATTCAAAGATATTTAAGAGATATTGTAAAATTGTTACTATTAAATATTGTTTTTTTACTGCTCCCAGTCCCTTGTTATCTTACAAAGTAAATGTACTCATAAAAATCATAAAAAATAGCTTGAATATTTAATTGCAAATAAGACATATTAAAAAGTAGGATCTCTTCAATCTAAACGATACGGTGATAATGAGACCAACGTAGTGTCAAATCATAACAGTCATGTCAAAAAAATTTAAAACATGTAATTTTTTAATTTTTATTATTACACTATAAAATTTTTCACAATTCATGGGAAAATTCATACAGAAATTTAGATATTGAAAGCCCTGTACGTCCGAAATTAGCAAGTGTCTAATATCTAGATTTTAGAGACTAACCATTCTTCACGAATCACCCTCCATATGAGTCATGTACCATATACAATCATGAGTGAATTTGAGCTATGGTTCCACAAGAATCATTCTGAAATTCCGAATCTTCATAAGATCGTGTGCAATTTAGATGATGAACAAATAGGGCTGGAGTAAGCCAAAAGTCTTAGGCATCAACCTGGAGATGGAATTGAAGATTCAACATTTGGAAGTAAAAATTGTGGAAAATTTGCTTGATCAGAAAACACTTCTTGATATGTATTAATTATAACATTAATCTGCTATTGCCAAAGGACTTTCGTTTATCAAAAAAGGCCGATGAGGAGAAGGTAAAGGCAAACAAGGAAATTAAAAATAGCTATTTTATAAACTCCAATTTTCACAAATATTCCTCTTTACTTTATCCTAGATCACCATAATTTATAAAAATAAGAAAACTGTCCTTCCTACACCGGAAAAAAATATTTAATAGTCCCGAAGAAATAAAGATCTTACTTGAAAATAATTCTAAACTTGGATAGGGAAATTGTACGAAAAAAATAGTTTTTCAGTAGATGAGTATTTAATCTGCCAATCTCATGTTGTTATTGCCTGTTTACATGCACCCTATGCATGTAAACAGGCAAAGCAAATGTTAAAAACTTAAAGAGGAATTCATTGTTTAAAATAAAGGTTAGTTTGTTATATAAACGTTGTGTCAAAAACCAACAATTTAATTCCCTCCACTCATTTTAAAGATATTTAAAAAATATGCAGAAAGTGTGATTTTTTTATAATATATATGCTCCATAATATTTTATTTGTCTGTCTATTTTATTTTAAAAAATAAAAACCATATTTCTAGCTAGTGTTGGAGTTGGTGAATTGACCATTTATTACATGAGCGGCCCACTTCTTAACTGACTAATCAAATTCGATAAAAATGTTTTAAATAACAATTGTTATCTATGATTATTTTATAATAACATGTATCTTATAATAAATTATTATGCGTCTATGATGTCCAATTTACCTGTAACGTTCTTCAAGGAATTCCCGAATACGAATACTTAGCGATTCGGGAAATCCCAATAAAAATATCGACTCCATTTAGTTCTCAGAACGACGCGACTGCCACGTAACGCACAATATAAATAAATATAAATGTCATTGTATTTTTAAAATTATTTCGGTATATTAACAAAAAAAATTAACCGGTCAATTCCAGAGCTTTCTTTGTAGCCATATTAGTAGAGTGACATTTACCTTATGTTTGGCTTTTGGTCCAACGTTTATATATAGCTAACCACGCACTTCTTTTGAAATACCCTATAGATGTGTGAAATTCTAAAATTTGGCATTATATTGTGCGACTATAACTATGAAATTATCCATTGTAAATTGCTTTTGTAAAATTGATTATTTCTGTTTGAATTCTATTCAATTTTTACTCTGTTTCTATTCTATTTCTATTCTGTTACTACCCTATATATATTCTATGTCTCTTCTATTCTGTTACTACTCTATTTATATATCTGGAAGGTTGATTGCGCATTAGTTGGGAACTACAAACTAACCTGATTTTCCTGAACCGTTTCTTTGAAGCGGGGCGCCGGTGGGAACCCCGACAATCGGTGCCCTGTGGGCCGGTAACTTTGGTTGCCTCTAACCCTTTATCGGAAACTTGACATTCGAACTCAACTTCCTCTTCGTCTCCTAACGACCGAAACCCGCCCATTTGAATCACGCTCTTAAAAATTGAAAACAATGATGATCTATTAATAGTAGTTGCATTTTAACTTTGGGAATACAGTAAAGGAATAAAGTATTTATTATTATTTTGGTTATTTTGGCGCCCTCTAGGTTCTAGGTGACGCCAATTTTTCTATTTATGCTTTTCTAGGTACTTTCTTTTCGAGATTCTCCAGTTTTATATCCGGTAATTGATAGTCACGAAAATGTGAAAAGGGATTCTTTTTCAAAATTTCAGTACATAGTCTGTCGAGGTAAAATATATTGGGCTATGCAACTTTGTCGCTTTTATTTTATTACATTTTCCTATTCACTGCTTTATTTTCGAAATATTAATTATTTTTCATTAGTTTTCTCCAAAATATAGTACCACCAAAACTTTAGCTACCAACTGAACTTAAACAGAGCAATAAAATGAAAAATTCGGTCGGTAAAGTGAATTTGGGTATGTGCTTAGAGGAAAAAGGAGGAGACCAATGGTAAGAGAGAAGATTTTTAAAAGTAGGTTTGGTAACTTGATTTACTAGTAATTATAAATAACGCGCGCTATCAATCACGACGCATAGAGGATTTTATCTTGGAGAACCAGGAAATTATCAGCTGGTTAACCATTAACAACATTGAATTTGATAAAGAAAAAATTTACATATGGTTTTGAGAAATACTCCATGGAATTTATAGCAGGAAAATCTGTGTCAAATATAAAGGCAAACTTTCATATTTGTTTTTCTTTTATCTTGTTTAATTGTACTGGCCCAATAGACTTCATCAGAAAAATGACATCGATGAGTGCTATTTTTACATGAAAAAAAAAATGAAAAGCTTATAATTGGATGCGGTTTTAAAATGTTTTGAAATTTTGTGTCAAAAACAATGTTTATAAGTTTGATAAACTATTCTGAAAATAGAAGAGAAAGTCGGCAACGAATAGCTCTTAAATGGGGCCAATTTAAGGACTGTGCAGAAAATTTCGGAAAAGTTCGAAAAGTGATTTACGACTTGTGTAGATCAAAAACGCATTCATTTCGTCCTGATTTGAAAGAACTCTAAAAAATGATAATGGTTTGGTTATTGGACTTGTATCATTATCAAAATTAATAATTAGATTAAATCAATTTATTAGATTTTCGCTATAAACCAAACATTCGGCGTGTTCGATTTTTATAAAAATATACTAAAAATTACATATCAAAATTTTGAAAAGTGCTATTTTTAGACGAACCGCAGATATTTCCCAAAGAAACTGGTCTGTAAAAAGTATCACAAGGAAAAGGGGAAATAGCAAAAGGGTTCACTATTTTGCAATTGTTCAATATTGTTACGAATAACACAATATATTCATTTGTTTTTGGATCATTTTCCTTCCTTCAACAGAGACTAGTGATTTCCGATTTGATTTTCATATAACTAGTGATCTTTGGCCCCGCGAGAGAAGACTGGATTTGACTATAACTGTGCCTCGCACACAGCCAAACTGAATCCTATAGAACTTAGGAGGTGTGTTCAAAAGTAAGGTGACTTTTAAGTTTAATCAAAAATTATTTGTTTATTCATCAATGTTGTCCTCTGCAATGCTCGAAGCACTTCTGGTAAGCACTATCTGGTGTAGCCTTGAGTTCTTCCAGAGATCTCCTCAATCGTTCCAAACTTCCTTCCTTTCATGGGTTTCTTGAGTTTTGGGAAAAGGGGCCATATCAGTCGAATATGCTGGCTGATGCATGATTATGGTTTTGTTTTTGGCCAAAAAGTGAGATACAAGCAACGATGAGTGAGCAGGTGCATTATCGTGATGCAAAATCCATCAATTGTTTTCCCAATTCCGGACGTTTCTTCGCATGGCTTCTCGCAAACGGCGCATAACTTCAAGGTAATACTCGTTATTAACCGTACGATCTCGATAATCAAAGAAAACAGTAAGGAAAACGTTGACGTTTGATCTAACTTGAAGTGCGTTTTTCGGTCTTGGCGATTCTAAGTTCATTGCTTTCGGCGTCATAACCATATACCCTTGATTTGTCACCAGTTATGACCTTTTGGAGCATATCAAGATCATTATTAAGGCCTTTTAACAGCTCTTGAGCGATGCACCTTCGACAATCTTTTCGTTCAAAATTAAGCAGCAAAAAACAAAATTTTGCTGTTACACGTTTCAGGCTCTAATGCTCATACTCAAAACTTCGGAAAAAAATGCATTGCACGAGCCAATAGAGATGCCGAAGACTGCAACCAATTCTCTAATAGAGATTCGACGATTTTTCAACACCACTTGTTTCACTTCTTCAACGCTTTCATCAGTTATTAATGTGCTTCTCGTCCATCTTGGAACACCTTGTACCACTTATAAACATTTTTTTGCTGAAAATAGATTCACCATATGCTAGTATTTTGCAGCACTGCATTTTTTTTTCACAGCAGAAAATCGCCGAGCACACAAAACACGTCTGATGCTTCTGTATCACAATAAAAGTAAACATGCAAGCTGGATGAAACTCTGAACATATTTTAGGGACCTGTGTACCAACATAACAAAAAATATATCCAAAATCTAATGTACACCGTGTGCCAAATAAAACAATCCACTATACGGTCTAGAAACCCATAGCAGATACGAAAAACAGTTTCGTACAAAAGTTCCTTGGACTCTCCTACAAATTTAATTTATAAGTTCGACATTTTTGGAATCCTTGGCTAAAAAGAAGTCAAGAAATTCCTATTCAAATTTTGCATAGTTTAGTGTGTTTTTTTATGTTTTGACTGCCCCATATAAAATTGTGTTGTGACGCTACTGATCCAGGTATTGCAACGAAAATTTAACCACAGACTAAGGAGATAATGCTCTACTCTACTCTCAGTGTGACAAATGCGCGTCAGCTTATACAGAGTGTCCCAAATAGGTGGTGCCGTTTTTGGCGAATTCAATTAACAAAATCTCAAGTTTTTCTAATGGCATATTTTTAATCAGATATCAATTCTAGGACAAAAAAAGTTAAGTTTGTAATTTATCTTATATTTAAATTTCATTTATTTCTTTAGATATTCGAGGTTTAAAATAACACCCTTATAAATTCTTGTTGAATTTAAAGCTGCGCACATTAAGACACTTTGACATTTCTGTTTGCTATTGTTGTTTTTCATATTCCTATTTAAAAAGTTCAGAGTTGTCAAGTTTTTTGTTTGTATATCTTTTATTTGTATTTTAAATAAGTTGTAGTTTTTTGGTTAATGCAATGTAAAAATGCAACCTTAGCATTAAGGGAGTATCAAAAAAAAATTCCGGGCGCTAAAATACCAGCAAAAACAATATTTATTATAATTATCCAGGACCTGTCAAATCACGTTGTTCTAAAAGATAGAAAAAGGGAGAAATCGGCATTAATAAGTGTGTGTGTGTAATGCGTTATTAATTTTGCTTCAAAATACCAAAAGTAAACAACCTGCTCGACAACTTGCGGGACAACGTTATATTTCAGCAAGATAAAGCGTAAATTTCCAAAATATAATAGGGAAAAATGGTGACATTGAGTGGCCACCGGGAAGTCCCGATTTTACACTCATGGACTTTTTTCTTGTGGGGCAGTTTAAAGGGTGCCGTGTATAAATCGCGAAATACCTATACAGTTGATGGCCTTAAGGAAAAATTAGACAAGAGATTCTTGAATTAAATAATAGTAATACGGTTAGAAATGTGCCCTCCAGCATTATGACGCGCTATGCAATGTGTAATGCAGAGGATGGATAATATATTGAAAATATATTACAGTATGACCATTTACTTTTAGTTATTTGTTTCTGTTTTTTTTTATAGATTTATTTATTCAAATTTGTTACCTTGTTAAGTTAGTCTATCAACTTTAATTATTTACTTTTGCTAATAGAAATTTTCAATCAACCTAGATAATTAACTATTAAATGTTTCTTTAAATGTTAATTCAGAAGTTTTATTAAATCCGTTAGAGTGTGTAGTGTAAAGTCGATTTTTTTCAAAATTCCAACGTATTAATGGACACTCTGTATTGTTAGCAATAGGTTTTATTCGTATATCTGGAGTATTATACCTTTAAAAGAAGTAAAAGAAGTATAAGCTGAGTCGCATCTGTCAAATTGATTATGATGAGCATCATCTCATTAGTCTGTTATATGACTAAATATGACTAATATGACAAAAAAACACATAACCTCAATTTCTGCCTAAACTGTATAAAATTTAAAAAGGTTCCATATAAAATAGCAAAGTTGATGTCGGCGGGAGCGGACACTTTTGGGACACCCTATAACAATAAAAATATTATATTTTAAATCTTCATTAGAGTCCAAAAAAACTTTTGTACTAAACTTTTTTTCGCATCTTCTATGGGTTTCCAGATCGTTAAATTTGGCACACGGTGTACGTAGCCCGTCCATTTACAAAAGTCGCCTTACTTTTTGAACACATGACGCATATGGTCGCAAGTGAAACAACTTATAGCAGCACAACAATCAAGACGAAAAACCTTAAGCTACTGTTTGATCAAGCCATTGAGAAAGTGACGCCAGAGAACTGGGCAAAAAGGAACCCAGGCTGTCATTAAAGAAGAAGATAAGTAAGATCTTCATTGAATATGACGAATAATGAAATCAGTGCTAACAATTAAAGTGTCTTAAATATTCTTTGGGTCACTCTGTAGTCCCTTTACTTACCAAATGATGTTTTGTTACTCTTCAACTTTGTGAAATAATCTTCAGATACGTAGAAGGGAAAATAATAGGAAAGACGCAGTGAATTGAAGAAAGTAATAAAATAGAGTGTATGCAATTTAAGATAACGATGTTGCCATATTCAAAATATTTTACATAATTCAAAATATTTTAGTCCGACAGTAACCAAATATTCAGAAAAAGTCTATTTTTGGTTCTCCGTAAATATGTAACCTGCCCCTATATAAAAAATAATTAATAAAAAATTATATCAGCTTCATTATTTTTTCAAACTTGCAATATAAAAGTTTTAAATATCTATTTATGTAAAATTGAACTAAATACTTTTTGCGGCACACCACTTATTGACAATTTCTTCAGTTTTTACGCCGCTGCTGGACATGTAAATAAAAAAAAAATAAATGTAAATATTGAGCGGCGTGGAAATTTTTTCGTGTGAGCATTTCCATGGTTACGTTGACCCATGTAAGAATATATTCCTCGGGGAAACTAGTTCCAAAAAGCCAGTATTTTGTGTATCGCGCCAATCAGCGTTATTATGCCACCAACGGGCAGGTACTTTGTCATACATAAGGGCATTGTTCGTTACCCTCACAAAATATTGCCGTTTTTTTACGTTGCAGAACAGGTTCCCGCATAATAATGGTTGTTATATCACTATTATAACACTTACACCGATGCCCTAGTCAATCAATGATTTAGTGTTATTTAATTTCGCCTCTGCATTTGCCCGCATTCCTCCCTTTTGTCCTGTTTTTTTATGATAATGACTTTTTTTTATGCAAAGGGAATGTTGATAAAATGAGGAAACCACTAATTTTGACATTAAATGCGAATTCTTTGCGTTGACCAGTCAAGGAGAATAAATCAATCAAAGAAAAAAGTAAAACAAATATTTTTAAATGAATAACCAAAAGCAACAATATGATATGAATTAAAACAACTACGAGGCATATGGGTTTAAATTTTCGCCACAGTGGAAGATATTTTTGACCAGTATTTGAGATATTACTTTTGTTGGCAAAAATTTGACAAAAAAAGGAAAGTCTGTAAATATAAAGATGAGAATTGGTCATCCTTCCTAGCTTTTATAATTCTTTGCAATTTCATCAAGTCCTTTTCTCTTTCAGTCCCAACAGAAATTTTTCGTTTTGTTGGTGGTAACGGTTACGTTTCGATTGTCAATTTTCTAAATCCTGAGAATCTGGCGATACATTTTCGTTATCATTCGTCTTGGTCAATAACAGACTTTTGACTTGTGATATGGTTTCTATTTTTATATCATTTCATTTCATCTATTGATCATATATTTTGCTTTCACTCTAAAGTTGAAAACAACTGATTTTAACTTTGACATTATAAAAATGTCTTACTAAATATTAAAATAACTCAAACGCTCAAAAACTTTAGTTAGGAAAAATTAATTTTATAGAATAATTTTATATTTTATCCTTCCAAATACTAAAACGCCTTTGTCTTGAGCACGATAAAACGTAAACATATAAACGGAAAAACTTTAAAATTAAAATGATGTTTCATGATATAGTTCGGCAATTAAAATGGAGAACGTTAACAGTAACCCTGTTAAAAAAGCGACATTATTCCTTTCTTATGCAGCTATTTATATCAATTAGAAAAAACATAAAAATGGCGTGACCACCACGTTTGCTTTTTATGCTTTTATGTTAAGCTCCCTGACAATTTTTATAACATTTGGTGTCTAATAGCAATATTGCTTGCAAGACCACCTAAGGCGAATTTGAAATAATTGTAGTATTATAAGTTTCCAAAAATTTATTTATAAAAATCTTCGTAAAAAACCTTAAAGTAACCGGAAAGCCAATTGAAAACTATTGATGGGCAAATGTCAAATGTGAAATGAGCGGTCAAGACCTCACTTTCAGTTGCTGTTTACCAATTTGTTCTTGAAAGATCCGCCCTTATTTTTTTTTATAAATACCTAGATAAAGTATAGAATTAACTTAAAAATGCGAGAAGTTTGGAAAGCATCATTGACAGTAGTTCCAAGCGCATGGGAATCAAAAATTTTGACCCCTCAAAAGAGTTACAAATTTAATTTCCTTAGTTCCACGGATTATAAGATATTTAGTTTTTGACAATTCTTCTTAACGTGACATCTTTAAGGAAACAATTACAAAACATCATACCCTCAAAAACATAGTGGCCCTCTTCTACATGAAAAAGTTTGTTAGTGGGCTATAATTTTTTAAATTTCGTAAAATAGAATAGAATTGGGTGCTTTCAGATTCATCAGGTTTTTACAGTATAAGCTATAAAACCAAGAGCGTAAAAGTTTTATAATAAGGGCTCTAAGGCAGCATTAAACGCGGTTAAAATACTTGAACTAACAAAAGTTTTATAAATAAAGTAACGGAATGCAATATTGTAAAAAAAGTATTTTGGTGTTTACTGGTTGTTTTAGAAAACTTGGAACTCGAATAGTTTTGTTAAAAAACCATAAAAACTATTATGAAAGCTAAGTTTTCGTATTATCTCCCTATTAATATCCTTTACCCTATATAAAAAAGCGAAAAATATTAGTTGGGACCTGCAGTCCAGTAGTCGGTCTAATTCCATTTCGACCATCTCACGTTATTATAAAAAACTAGATTTGGACTAAGCAGACTAACCGTGTGTTTTTTTTTTATATTGGATGTACCTGCAAAGAAGTTTGCACCAAATACATAATAATTTACATGATCGAATATGTATAATACGACATAAATTGCCCTATGGGATATGAAGAGACCAACCTGGTGAACAAACACATCTTGACCCCCATCGTCTGGTGTCACGAACCCCCATCCTTTAGCTACATTGAACCATTTGCATTTCCCACGACGAAGGCCCAAATTCGCTTCGGAACCAAGCTGGCTTATACTTTCAGCTTCTGAGCCTGCAATATAAAGACGATTTTACAGGGTGTCTCATTTTCGACACCTTTGCGGATAATAACTGTCTCTCGTGTAATTTTTACGCAGAATTCAGTTAACAATTTGTTGCAGTTTGTTTTATTAAATATAATACCTTTTATTAATTTTCATTTTGATTGAGAATCTTAAGGCGTATGTGACACTAACCCAGAAAGCAGAAGCGCAGAGGTTGTAATAAAAAAAGCGGAAATGTTTCTCCGTACTTTTTTAGTGTACTGCTGAGACCTTCAGTAAAAAAACGCACAATTGGAGCTTTTCTGTTGAATGATTTTGATTTTATCAATCTAGCAAAAAAACGTGACATATGTATCAATAGGTGCTGATAAAAATAAAATAGGTAAAATAGGTAAAATAGGTAACTGATAAAAATAAAATAATGACAATAAAGGACTGCCACGCCAATAATAGTGAACACCATGTATCTAATGTTGGTTATGCTTATTATGGAAATTTGAGAAGCATAAGGCAGTGGTCGACAAAACCTGACTCCGAAGTGCAAAGTTGTCCCGAAAATTGTAAAATATTTTTACAGAAAAGGAAACATAAATATGCTGTTGCATATTCAAATTGAGTTTAGTTTGGTGCTCTTTGCAGATGACTTTAATAGACCAGTTTTGGTAAAAACATTAAATGAATTGTTCCTTAGAACAAGGCGCGGTCGGAAAGAGATAATGATGGTACAGCATAACTAAAGTGCTGCCTGTCTTCATCCGCTTCAAAACGAAAAAAACAAGAGAGCACATTCCCAAATCGATAAACCTGAACATGACAAACATTCAGCTCTTTAAGACTGTTAATTTTTCACAATGATATATAGAGCTTAAATACTTTTAGAAGAAAATGAATTCTCTAGAGAATGGATGTAATTGTAAACAAGGAAGCACTTTCAAAGTAATTAGGTTGAAATGAAAATAATGTTTTGCTAATATGCATTTTGATCACCAAAAAGGAAATTGTTAAAGTTATTTATTATTTAAGGAATCATATTTACAGTTTGGTATGACAAGAATTTCTTCAAAAAATCTCTTGGATGCTGTGACACAATAAGAAGACCCGTTCAAAATATAATTTTGTTGTGCAGAGCGTGAAGTTGAACATATTCAACCACAGAGACCTAACCACATTTGGCGAAATATCATTGAGAAGTTTTGGAGTACGATACAATATTGTCTAGATAAGGCATGAATACGCTGTTAAAATGATTAAACTGTGAAAGAACCGAAGAGTCGCAAAGAAGGCTTTTTGTATACTGTGAGTGACGACTTCCATTCATTAATTTTATATTACTGTACGCAACTTTTAACGCTAAATTTTAGCTGAGAATCTAGAGTAACTTCTGAACTTTTGCAACTGATACGAAAAAGGAAAAGAGAGTTCTTTATGGAGAACTTTACGTTCGTTTTAATGTTATCAATCTGATTGTCATTTCCAAAGAACATCACTGAGAATTTATTCTACTTCAACACAGAGTTAAAGACTATTGCTCGATGCATGTTGATTCGTTAAATATTACTTGTTATGTTCTGTGATTTAAAAGAAATGATACAATTTACAAGATTCTTCACTCAATCCTGTGTGATTAAGAATTTTTGCTAAAATCAAATAAAACCAAGGCAGTATACTGGATGGATTTAATTAGTCGGAAATTAGCGACATTGTTAAATAATTTTGGAAGTGGAAGAATAGTTACTGGCCTATTCTATTTTTTTTTTCTAGTGCTCTTAATGCTTGACATATTATTACTACCAATATTTATATACTACACATCTTACAACAGCCCACCGACGAAATTAAAAAATTAGGCGACCGCCACTGGTTTCTTTGAACCATGACGCAGGTATATATTTAGGATTACGGAAACCTCCCCTTTTCTGGGCAACCCTTACCGCTTGTTGCCGACCCGGACTGGATCTAGAAACGGGCCATTGTCGAACGCGGGAAAAACGTATAACGACCATTTAACTATTCCTCTATTTCTTCTTAGATATCGGGCGGCCCAGGCAATATAATATAATCAAAGGTTGTAGCCGAGTTCAGATCAACGACCTCTGCTTACATCCTGTTCCTCGTATTGATGTTTTTTTCTGTTGAAATTATTCGTTTGTGTGGTTATGAAAGCTTTTATTTTGGCCACCATTTTAGCGGGACTGTTTATGGTTAGAGGTATTTTAGCGGGTCTCCGAACCAAGTCTTTGAGACCGTTTCAACGCTATTAGATGGCCGTATTTAAGTAAAAATTTCATTATTTCATAACTGAAATATAGGCTGGAGATTCGTTATCCCGGATAAATATACGATAATTTAGGGGTAATTTAGCTGTTTGGTTATAAATCCCTGATTAAAATCAATATTGCGCTACTCTGAAGTAGGTGTTGCAAAAAGAGAGCCAATAACATGGGTCAGCACAAAATATGTCTTTGAATTTAAAGCATAAAGTTTCACTATTTTATGTCGTATTTAGATAAAAAAAATTGCTTTTGTATTCAGGAGACCGATTGAACGCTATTTTTCAAAATCTGTGGTTCTAATTTTAGATTAAAAATAAATGTTTATAAGTTTTATTATCAAAATATAACATTCGAAAAAGTGGAAAATAATTCAAAAGTGAACACTTACTTTTTTTATGTTCATTACTACCTTCTCTCAATAAACCCCAAGTTTTCATTGTATTGTCCTTGATTAAGTTGTTCGAAGCTCCTGATGAAAACGTTCTTCTTGCTCTTTTCAATACGCTCTCATGTTATTTTTAAATTTGATGTCGTTTTAATGACATCCTGCAGCCCATAGCCTTAACTTTTTTTAACATATTCTCAATTAATAGTCTTCAGCTTTGTTGTTTCCTAAAAATACAAAAACCACTGCTTTAAAACTATTCCAACTTGAACTTTTTGGCAGCATTGGAAAATCTGTCTATTTGCGGACCAACAAAAACTCCAGCTTTAACCTTTGCTTCGGATAAATTCTGAAGCTTCATCCAATTTCTTAAGAAATGGTTTCATCATTTGTTTTCCGACCCTGAGTTATGTTCTTACAGGCCATGACCGTTGAGAGTATGTTATTGCCAAGAACAAAGTCCATCTTCTTTGGTGAAAAACGTTGATAATATTTCATGTTTAGGTCGCTGATCCGTGATATCGACGTCAAATTCCATTGTTTTAAGCGAGAGGGTAAAAGTTCTGCTTTATTTTTGACTAATTTAAATCTCTTATGAAGTCCTTCAAATCTTCTGTAGTATAAAGATAGTGTTTTGGTTGTACTGAGCGATGAGCTATTTTTCTGCGATCATTTTTGGGCTGGCTCAGGAATTCGTCGTGTCAGGTTGTGCGCAATTGGAGCAGAAGAAGATTCAAGATCAGGGATATTCGATAGGTTTTGCAATTCTACGTCTTTCACTCGTATTAACAATGCCAACGTAACAGTCATTAACCTGGCGATCTGGTTCTCGCCAGATTCTTGGTATTACAAATATCATAAACCTTTTGTCACCTCAAAACCAACCTAAAGTCTAACAATAAAAACTGTCTATTATATTTGAATCACCATTCAAAAATTGCTTACCTTCTAAACACTTTTATCTTTGGAAGCTCTTTTCGAGCTTTAAATAGAGTAGGAGAGGAGCAAAGCCAATTGAACTATTATGATTTTAGCAAATGTATAGACCAGCACACGATCCATGGTCGTGATTTGTCTGGCCTATCATAAACGGAAGTAGGTGTCGGCACCTTAGAAATTTTAAAATCATTTGCGGTTTGCCATTATTGGGGTTATAGTAATTATTTGCTATGTTTATAGTATATATATATATATATATATATATATATATATATATATATATATATATATATATATATATATATATATATATATATATATATATATATATATATATATATATATATATATATATATATATATATATATATATATATATATATATATATATATATATATATATATATATATATATATATATATATATATTTCTAGTTTGTGAGTTCTTGGATCCTTTTGATTTTAAGTATAAGTATAAGTATATATATATATATATATATATATATATATATATATATATATATATATATATATATATAACCAAAACTAACCAAAACTATTTGAAAAGGCATTAGTCAATTAGCAAATAAAAAATTACACTAATAATTTATATTTGTTAATACAAAATTTGTCTGCAGGTCTGAAAACTTCAGAGGGCATGCGTCAATTTCTGGATAATAACGGACTAGAAAGAAACAAACGATGTGACAATGTCATGATCAAAGTGTTTAGGGATGGTATTTAGATTTTAAAATATTGACAAGCGTAGTTGCATTAAAGAGAGCCAACGATTGGTAGAATGGAGACACAATATTTCTAGTAGTTCCTAGTAGTGCTAGTTACCACAAATCTTCAGCTTATAAAGGACCCACGATCAGCAGCAAAAAAGAGGTATGGCCAGGTTTCCTTAGTCAGCATGTCACAAAAAAGTAACTCGTTGAAGTTTTAATAACCAAATCATATGATAAAATATAAGTATATAATATACCCCTTAGATTACCACTTATTATCACTGCAATGTCAATAATATAGAAGTCCTACGGGCCAAACTGAAAAACAACGTTAGACGCAACAATATAAAGCCAAAAATGTCCATGTATTGATTTAATTAATAGTGTGGATTATTACCAGAGACCAGTTGGAAAGAATGAGAATGATGTAATTGAAGTGAAAAATAATTATAAAAAAACTTACTACAACGTAAAACCATTATACAGTAGGCAACAAGTGCGGTAAACGGCATTTGACTCACGAGTTTATTTGGCACGAGGGGAGCAAGTGCTTAATAAACGAGTGAGTTAAAAAGTTTACGAACGTGTTGCATACTATACTTTTTCTAGGACCGTCACGAAAAGATCACAATTTAACAAATTAAAAATAATAACAGATTATCGGAATACTAAATTTTATACCGTTTAAACAAAATATTTATTAGTTGAAATTAAAAATATTCGTTTATCGTTGCGATCGGTTCTGCTATTGTTATCTCTTTTGAACTGTGCACGTTAGACAGAGAGATATGTAAACACAATTTTAAAACGTTATGTTGTTATTAAGTAGTTTATTTAAAGAAAAAGACTGTAATTGGAAGAAAAATCATTTTTAAGATCGTATAAGTAAGAAAACGCAGGCCCTAACCTTCAATTATGTTTTGTTTGTACTGATGAGAGATGGATATTTTAAAATCATACAATTCATCTTGGCAAGATATTAATATAAAAACTGTAAAAACCACTAAAGTTCATGCGAACGGTATGTAAAATTTCTGTGGGAAACTTAAATTATAAATGTCACTTTACTTACCGACTAGTCCACTAGATTTTAATTGTGTATTAGTTTTTGGGTACATTTTTGACGAATTGATAAACGTCAAAATTCAATCCGTGCACTAAAATCTCCGAAAACATCCACCATGCCACCAAACCCGTGCGGTAGATTCCCGAAAATGTCCGAAGGAGCTCGGATCCGTGGGAAGCGAAACTGACGTGGTAAAGTGACGCTTCCCGCACGCTAGATCGGTGTGTAATTAGGCATTTTACAGACAGGAGTAGAAAGAAATAGATTTTTGCATTTCAATTGCTTTACCACTATCCTGGCTCGATATTGGCTCAAAAATGTCTACGAGCAGATAAAAATGTTAATAGGATTAATATGGTCACGACTAATATTGTGTGTCGGACTAAAGTAGTATAAGTTTTTCGATAATAATTAACAGCTGATAATTTATCTCATTGAATGCGGATTTCAATGCAATAGGTTAGTACATCTTAACCAATGAATTTATCCAAAAGCCATTTGAAATTTTTCGGTTGTTTTGTCAGCATTTGATATGCTACCCACATTTGACGGGTTTAAAGTGTTGTCTGCTTAAAAAGTACTAACCAAGTAACACGTCAATTGCGAACTTTATTCTTTTCTCGGAAGTTTCTTCTTCTTTCATTATCGTTATTCACTATTTCGAAGGTGCTCTCCGGTGATGCAATAAATTACGATAAATTGTGGGTGTCCGATACGAAATCGCCTGATTTCGGGTCTGTAACACGTGCTCAAATTATTTGAAAGGGGCACCGGAATCTGTTTTCGGGTTAAACTACGCAGCAACAAAACAACAGCATAATGCGTATTATATTTTGACCAGCGTGGTTTTGCCGTTACAGACCGACTTTTTCGAAGATTTCCGAATAATACACTGAAGTTGATGCACCTTTTCCGTGGTTAAGTTGACCCTCCATTGACGAAGACAAATAACAAATGAAAGTACAACACGGTCATCCACTTTTTCTTCAATGGAGTGAATTTAAGGTAACAGAGGCTTGTCAAAGTGACGACATTTTCGAGTCATAAGTGGTTGCTACCCGTCAATGGTCCAAAAACGCCTCAAATTAACGTCAAAAAAAGGATGTGTTATTAACATCACAAAAATAACCTACGACCAAATTCTGACTTTAAGTTGACGTAAAAAGTTATGACTTAAATGACATAAATTGACGGCACTAAAAAAGACGTGATTTAAATAACATCCTTCGTCTGAGACATTAGTGGGTCCTGCTAACGTCATATATAACGCCATTTTCGTCATTTGGTGACTTCATTTTGACGACCCTCTGCTACCTGTAATCTCATATCCGAAGGATGAGTGAGCTGTATGTGTGGCACAAGGGTGAAAACAAACAAATCTGATGATATTGGCTACAGTCTACGTTCTTACAGAAATGAGAGGCTAAATCGTCTCCAATTAACAATTTATGGTATTTCACGTAAGATAGAAAAATACTTTGGAACCAACCAACCAAACAACCAGTGCGATTGACATTTATATGAACCGTCTTGTGCTTACAAGATCCACATATTTTCTGCTTTATATACACGGGAAGTACTTCTTCTTTTGCGTTTCCACAAACAACTAGTGCTATATTTCATTTGGAATGAATTATGACTGAGTACTTCCTCTGTTAAAGGAACTCTTTGTTGAACCAGGCTCGCTTAAGTTATTATCATAAATCATCTAAATGTCTTATCGGAATTCATGTCAAATACTCTTTTGCATAAAGCATCTCTAATTGGATTTATATTTTGTGCCTTTCAAAGAACCGTTTTGTCCAATCTTTGTCAGGCAAGTTGTTTGTAAAATTTGTAGTTTTCTCCATTCTGTTAAGATGTGACTGTATAGTGTGGCGTGCTTTAACAAATCTAAAAAATAGTGAAGCGTACAACACTACTAGCATACTTGCTCCGGTTCTTATAACTTCCATTTCCATTTGGTAATTTAACATGTTTTTGTAGCCTGGTTAATGAAGAAGTTTTTTTTTCTAATAATCGAAAACGTCTTCTTCTCTAGAGTAATCCTTGTAATGTCTTGCACCTCTCTGGTTTAACCTCGCATTTGTACAAACTTGACTGTTAATTAAAATAGCAAACTAAGACATAAACAACTGGATAAACACTTTTTACAAAACTTCTGAATTCCCCCTGCGTCGGTTTTTGCTGAGCCGAATTGGTTGACGTTTCGCCAATCATCCTGTTGGCTTCTTCAGTTTCAGTCAAGCTCTGAAGAAGCCAACAGCATGATTGGCGAAACGTCAGCAAGTTCGACTCAGCAAAAAACGACGCAGGAGGAATCCAGAAGTTTTGTAAAAAGTATTACAGTAGCCTGTGGAAGCTTCTTTGAAAAAAAACACTGGATCAACGTTTAATTTGCGAATAAAACCGTTAAACATGTTGTTTAAAGTTACCCCTCCATGGCCAAAAACTAGCTCTATAATTTGTTTATTATTATTTATTTTAATTTCAAAATGAGTGTTTAGGAAGTTATATTTATTATGTTATGCCGATATAGTCCAGCACACGATAAATGGTAATCACTTGTCTACCATAACATAAACCCTTCACCCTCAACAAACCAATAAAAAGCCGATTTGCAAGCCTTTATCAGGCCGCGAAGTATTTTTATTTTAGTGGTGTCGAAATCTTAAAAATTTTAAAATAATTTGCGCTTTTTCATTAGTGTTGTTATGTTTAAATCGTGAGTTGAAGAAATTTTCGGTAAAGAGTAAAGAACAAAAAAAACAGTGTCATTTAAATATTTGCTGCAACAGAATCGTTTTGGGTAATATAAAAGAAAAATTTATATAAAGCTTATATTTTTTAAATTTTAGTTAACTATTTGAAAATATATCAGTCAACGTTCACTATAACGTTCTTGACACTTTAACATAACAAATAAAAAAAAGCTAAAACCGCCGGAGGGAATAGAAGCTGCCATTGGAGGGACAGATGAGTTAACTAGTATTCCAACGTCAATCTTGAGTTGATTCCTTGGTAACGATTCACTAGAAAGGAAGGAAGTGGTGATGCAGAGTGGATTCGGAGGGAATGGTATGCGATGTATGAGATCACTCAGATTCCGTCATTGTAACAGAAATTAAAAAGAAAATGGTCGATTTACTGGCAGTAGTAGAAGAGACAATAAAATCCGGTAACATATTTAATTATGACTGCCATTTGAATCTTACAGAATTGAATTGAAAAACAAAGTTGGTAGCAATTATATGAACCCAAAAATGCTCGCCAATTTAATCGATTAAATCAATAATCAGTGCGAATTAATACCAGAAAACAGCTGAACAGAACATGTTAATGATGCACCTGAAGTGCAAAATAATTTTTGAAAAGACTTGGGACAACGTAAAAATGGATGATAGTAACAGCATAGATCCAAACTATTTTATGGAATAAATGTTTGTCATTAACACAATTACAATTAAATAGTAGGCAACACAGCAGAATGTTTAAATATACTAGTAGTTCCCTTATATTGATTAACGACCGCTTGAGCTTCTTTTTTAATTATTTCTTTATTAATGGTTCTGGTTACATATTAGAAACTTTTTAGACACTCTGGACTGTATTCAGCCTAAATTGGCAATATATAAATAAATTAGTAAATAAGGCATTTCCTACTTTCTTTTACAAATACATTGATGCCATTAAATTTATTTGTAAAGCTGAAATTTCTTCGCTGCTGTAACGGCTTTTTGCCCTGTTATACGAATTTATAATATATTTCCATCCAAAAACCATTTAAAATTTTGCGGTTGTTTTGTCGGCATTCGATATGTGACGCACATTTCACGTGTTTAAAGTGTTATCTGCTAAAAAATTACTCATCGAGTGACACGTAAATTGTGATTTTAATTTTTTTTCTCGAAAATTTCTGGATGATCGGCACTATTCATCATCGTTACATACTATTTCAAAGGTGCTCTCCGGCGATACAAGAAATTACGAGAAATTTGTGTGTACGTTACGCTATCGCACCCACCATAACTTCGGGTCTGTAACACGTGCTCAAATTATTTGAAAGAGGCACCAGAATCTGTTTTCGGGTTAAACTACGCAGCAACAAAACAACATTATGCATTATGCGTATTATATTTTTAGCAGCGTCGTTTTGCGGTTACCGCCCGACTTTTTCCAAGATTCCCGAATAATAGGCCGAAGTAGACGCACCTTTTCCGTGATTAAGTTGCCCCTCCATTGATTTCGCCGAAAGAAAACAAAAAACGAAACTACAACATGGTCCCCGGGGACCTTCACTCGCGTACGCATAGACCACCACTACTACTACTAGCGCGGTTATAGATACGAAGGAACCGTAAAAAAATGTTTGGGCCAATAGGGACTGCAAGTTGTTGACGTCGTGCTCAAAGTGGGCCCAAAACACGCTCGCGCACACACCGTTGTTTGTTTAGAAGCGCATAGTTTACTACGAAAACGTGTAGAATGCGGTCGGTTCTCCCATTCATGAAATTCCTTCTTCAATCGGTGTCGAAATTCCCGCGCGTATCGACGACGCGAAGCCGACGCGTTATCTCGGGATTTTTCAAAGAAAAAACTGAATGCTTCGGAAACGATAACGGATTCGACGAACCCTACGAAATAGAGAGGGTAGTAGTCGGTCTCCGTTTATGTATTCTTCGGGGTATAATTTAATTATCTTCGAAGGCATTTCCTAGAAACCGTTGCTGCATAAGGGCCCCGGGGTCCCAGAAAGTTTCCTCTACCTGAAAGGATCGAGTACGATTTCGATATACCGGGCGGTCCATACACAGTACCCAACAAAAGTCTAGGCACAGAAATAATTTTTTTGAAATATTTCAAAAACAAAGTGGAGCAAATATAATATTACAAAAGTCGATTGCAATAATGGATTAATAGCAGCAAACAAAAAATATTTTTCTGAAAACAAAACAACAACAACAAAAATCTAGGCACATACCAAAAAAAAAACGGCGAATTAAAATTTTTTTAATAGAATAAAACCTGCTTATACTACTCCATTAATATTTCGTAGGGCAACCTTTTAAATTTATGACAGACGTCTTGGCTTTTGTGTTACTTCTTGCCCTATTCTTTCCATGCTTGTAATAAAAATTCTCCCAATTCTTTTTTACAGGTTATTTCATTATACCGTAGCAGGTGCATAGGAGGAGTATTGTAAAGTAGCCATTCACTAACAACATGAGCAATGTGCCTTTGATCTTTCTCTTGCTGGAAATAAAAGTCACCAACTAACCCAAGCGCACTTTCTTGTAGATTTGCTCTTAAAATATTTCAATTATCACTAATATACCGCCACAGTCCCAATTGTATTGTTAGGATTTAATGACTCTAAAATAATTTTACTAACTAGAAGTTTTTTTCTAGCTCTTTTGTTGAATCCTCATACTGCCGCGGCTACTTTAGGTGCACTTAATAGTAGATTTTCTTGAACAAGCCTTTTGACTTTTCTCTCTTTTCTAATAGATAGTTTTTTGTATCTCAGGATAATATTACTTACTTATACCTATTATTTTTACAATTTCGCAGTAAGTACGGTAAGTATTAAACTTGTTGTCTCTCACTTCCACTCATTATTTTACTAATAAAAGTACTTCTATTATACAACAGCTGCAAAACTACTGATTTGACATTTTAGAAACCGCGTTCTTCTTTAGTCAAAGGCTACTTCAGCAATTCAAAAGTAATACATCGGTCAACCGTTTATACGAATGTGCCTAAACTTCTGTGTTAAAAGTAGTTTCCAGAAAAATATTTTTTGTTTGCTATTATAGAATCATTATAACACTGAACTTTTCTAGTATTTTATTTTTTTTACATTAGTTACAGTTGTTACTTTATAAAATCATCTTTAAAGAAATTGGTATTCTGCTTAGACTTTTGTTGGATACTGCACATGAGTTAAACTGTTTTCTTAGACGGAAATTGAATGAAAGGATAGGCAAAGGAAGGAAAACCTTAACATGCCATTTTTTTTAGCAACTTTGAACTCGTTTTTTTATCGACTACCTCACTAAATATCTATCTACAAAAGTGTTCGGTATGGCACTAGAAGTTAAACGAATTTATAACTAAATGTTTCCTTATAGTAAAAATAGTTTAATCAAGGATATTTAGACTACTTAGCACCAAAATTTTGCCTTCCTGTGCAATTAAGGAATATCAAAATTAAAAAATAGTTTTAAGAGAGATGTTGGAGGCTGTGTCGTCGAGAATCTAAAACAGTCCCTTGCCCTTCTGTTGCAAAAAAAGTGTTACTTCTTCTTTCCTTTGAAACTTTATATGCATATGTCTTTAAAAAGTCTTTACAAAATTATATACTTTGTCTTTACTGCACATATAAGTGCTCTAAGGCACTATTCTAATCGTGTCCGAGTATTTATCGTATTTATCGGCTCTTCTGCTTTTCCCCACGCTTTTCTGATACTGTCCATTCCAAACACGTTAAACTTCTTTTCATCAGCGAATATTAGGTTATTCCATAATTCTTCCATTAATTTTACTAACTTTTTAACAAAACTAGTGGTTTTTATCCAGCGATGCAGGATTTTAATCAGTATCTGCACGTGCAGCTTTTTTTTTAAATAACTTCTGCGGCCATGTTACGCAATCGCGGAATTTCTTCAACTAGCTTTCCGATTTTTCTCCCTTTCAGGAAAATATTTCCGAATCATACCTATTTTTAGAATATTAAACTTCTGATAGCTACTTTCGACTCATTATTTTACTTCTATTTCACTACAACTGCAAAACTACTACTGCTGTTAAAAGTGCATATATTTTTTGATATATTTTGCAATGGTTTAATAGTCTTCAGAAAAATATTTTTTGTTTCTTATTATTCAATCTTATAATGAACTTTTCTAGTATTTTAGTTCCTTGGCTTTAGGTACGCTTTATAATATTTTATAAAAACATTCCTAAGGAAATTGCTAGTGTGCCTAGGACGTTTGGTGTACTAGGGATTGCTGTACTCTGGTCAAAGGCGGAAAAACCTTAACCTAATATTTTTTTTAGCAACGTTAAATTAGTTTTTATTTAGGATCTTCCTATATATCTATCTACAAGAATGTTCACTGGAAACAAAAAACAAAATTTTATTGCAAATCCTTACGAAATTTATAACTAATTGTTCCTTATGGTAAAAGCAACTTTAATCAAAGAGATTTAAACTATTTAGCACCAAAATTTTGTAATTTTTAAAAATTTTATTTATAATTTATAATGGTTTAAGAAAAAAGCTATGTCGTCGAGAATCTAGAACTGTCCCTTGTCTCTGTAGAAAAAACAAATAAATGTTACTAACGTTACTGCTTCTTCCTTTTGTAATTTTATGTAAATGCAGTAGATCTCGTTAAAAAATCTTTGCAAATTTATATAATCATTTATGTATTACTTTTAAGATTGCTACACCATTTTAGTTATAAATTCACATACATTTCAGCTTGATCTACGTGTTTCTCAAATAGATAAACTTGGTTCATATATTTCTTATCCTGTCAATCCTCACTCTAAAATGAAGATATTTCAAAAATCAGAAGATTACTAAACTACCACGTTACTCGTGTCAAAAAAAATCCGTGCTCATATTTGCTAGTCTTATAATAACACAAAATTTTTCTCTTTTGATTATATTTCTGTTCTTTTGTTATCAGTGTTTGCGATTTCTTTTAAAGCAAAATTTCAAAAAGGTTTATATACAGGATGTTTAAAAAAATGCGGAAAATTAATTGGGTGCGTGAATCCTTGTATAAAATGGAGGTTAGTTTATTATATGAACGTTGAGTCAGAATCCAACAAGAAGCCGTTCCGGGGATATCGCGCTACAAATATTGCAGAAAAATAAGTTTTTTAATTTTTATCTTAAAAACAAATAAATAGAACAGTTTCTAATTCAATTTAAGAGAAAAGTTGACATAACAAATATTTTTTTTATTTTGTGTCTTATTTAGAAACATTTGTCTCCTGAAATTTTTTCATAATATATAAATTTAATCGAAATCGAACACTAATTGAGAGGCAAAAGTAGACAATTGTCTGAAAAAATTCAGCAGAATTAAACATTGATGCACCAACGAGAATCCAGAATATTTTTATATTTTCCATCTTAAAGATTGATTGCTGAGTGCTATCTTCCTTGTTTATAAGAAGAAATACGTTTGTTACAAGAAAATTTTTGTTTTGCCTTAGGTGCTTGCTTATTTGTTGGGTTTTTATTCGAGTTACATTGCTTAAATAAAATGTTTTTAATAATCATCATCTATTAGTATTATATCTAGTAGTACTAATAATCATTATCTATTAGTTTCAGCAAATAATTGATAGATGTTCTTAAAAAATATAACTGTGTGACAGCACTCAATTAAATTATGTCTCTAAAATATATATATTTTTTTGCAAACAAAAAAGGGTTTCTAATAAACTACCGAATTTTATGCATTTTTATGCCGTTGCCAAATTGCCAGTTTTTTAAATTTCATTAAGAATGATAAGGGTAGTCTAGTACAATTCCCTCCAGTCGTTAAAAAAAATAAATATAGGAACTATATTTTTATATTAGTAATACTTTATTGTTTATTATTCTATTCATTTTCACATTGCAAATAAAAACCGCATTTTTCCGACATAGTTGTTACAATGTAATAAACTACCCTTTATTTTAAGGAAGGAATCATCCTTTAAATTTTAGGTCTATCTCATATAGCTTTCTTTCCTTCTTTTTGGTATTAACTTTCATAAAGAAAGCTATAAAACTGCGACGTTCCACGACGATTTGGTGGATGCATTTGCCGTCAATTTACAATGCAAGGAAAAGTAAAAACTTACCATTGTCCACTTTCGACTGTGACATGTCGGCACCGTTATCTTCATCTGCAATTGCTACTGTCATGAGGAGACCTAAAATTCCACGATTAGTTTGGTCACGATAACCATTTCTTCAAAAATCAATCTAGAATGACGCTCAATTTTCAAAATTAAAAAACTCGTTCGACCGTATAGTGCCCTCCGCAACGCAGTGCTTGATGAGCCAATGGGACAGAACAAACTTACCAACTAATGGCAAAATATCCGAATCAACGTCGCACTGAACACGAACACCAAAGAAAACACTACTTCGCTGTGATCAACGTATCCATGGGATTTCTTTTCGAACCAAAGTAAACTAAGGAAAGTGTAGAGCGGCGCCGTATACTAATTCTATTACCACCCCCACCCCACATTCGCACAGGGCCGTTTGGAAC